TGTCGCTCGCGGCGGAGTAGAGGAGTGGCGACACCACTTCCTCCGCACCGCAGTCGAGGGCGTAGGCGAGGGCCATGTGGCCGAAGATGTCTCTGGCCTCCGTCTTGGCTCCGGCCTCGAGCAGCGCAGTCAGCACGGAACCCGCGCCGACTTCAGCTGCCCAGTGAAGCGCCGTGGCTTCCGTGGCATCCGAAGCACAGAGCTGGGCTCCGGCCTTCAACAGACTACGGACAATGTCCACGTCGACCTGCAACCATGGCAAGATATCAGAGGCAAGGCCATACTGGAGGCATCGTAAAGCAACTGCTGCGTACCAATGAAGCGTAATGAAGAGGAGCTTCGAGGTCGCAGTTGGGCAGAGAGGGGTCGGCGCCATGCGCCAAGAGCACAGCAATCGCTGATGCGCTGCCCTCCCGGAGGGCATAGTGGAGCGGGGTATCGCCTTCGTCGTCCTGGAGGTCCGCTGGAGCGCCATGCTAGAGTAGACGAAAGCAAAGTGCAGAGATGTCAGTGGCCATTGACTACCGGGTTGGAAGGGGGGGGTAGCAAGCCAGTACCTGGAGAAGGGTCAATATGGTGGGTCTGTGATCGACCACAACGGCGCGATGGAGGGGGGTGTCGCCTTCGATGGCCGAGGCGAAACAATAAGCACCACTCAGGAGAAGCTGGCTGCAGACGTCGGCCTTGCCGGCGGCAGAAGCCCTAAAATAAATCAAATCATCAAAATGTTAACCACACAAATCGCAGCGTGCGGGTTCGCGTGTCGTACCAGTGCAGCGGAGTCTCAAGCAGTTGGTTGGCTGCGTTGGGGTCGGCCCCAGCGCGGAGGAGGAGCTCCACCACCTGCTGGTGGCCGAACCCGGCAGCCCAGTGAAGCGCGGCGTTGCCGCGCAAGTCGCGCTTGCTCACATCCGCTCGGCTGGCCAGCAGCAGTTCCACCGCCCAGCAGTCGCCCTATACGTTTGTGGTGTGAATTGAATAAGAAGCCATGGAGGGGTAGAAAAAGGGAAAGAAAGTGAGGGTAAAGTTCTGAAATGAGCGCAGGGTAACGTACACCAGCAGCAGCAATATGGAGGGCGGTAAAGCCGCGGGCATCGGGAGCATTAACTGCCTCACCTCCAGAGGAGTCCACTGAAGAGCGAAGGAGGTCGGGGCTGCCTTGCCACGCCGCTTGCGCGATGTCGCCTGTGTGTGAGGGGGGAGGGAGCGAAGAAAAATTGGTATTGGTACGTAGGAGATATGGTTGTGGTGCGGAGGAGGAGGAACAATACTGTCGTCCAGCCCAAAGTCGAAGTTGGGCCTGGAAGAGGTGGATGAGGTCTGAGTAGACGTAGAGCTCCTCTCCTCGTAGGTGAAGGACGCCGCGGTCGGCGACCACAGCTTGGAGTCATTGGATACGCGAACCGACACGATTCCTGCGTAGCACACGTGATATACCAAAGGTGCTTACACGTCAGTCGAAAGCCGGTGTCTTGACGTTAAGACGATAAGCCTGGCTTTGTACGTACCCGAATGGTGAGGCGGAGTGGTGCAGATGAGGGTACGAGGGCCGTGGAAGACCGGCATAACATCGATGTTGTCAAAGCGTACGCGAGCTGAGGGACTATCGACGAAGTTGGTACCCAATACCGCCACGCGAGTGCCACCAGCAATGGTTCCACTGTAAGGGATCACCTGTGTACCATGCAACGCCGTAAGTCGTTGGTGAACTCTTGGGCGGTCGCACCTCAGAAAAAGGGGGAAAAGTGAGCGGGTACCTCGGTGACCGAGGGGGTCATGGACGACACCGGGCGCAGCTGAGTCGAATGGGATAGTACACAAACTGGGTTGGATTGTACATAGTCCAATATCTCGTACTCGTTACCATGATATCTGGAGTGGTTTGCAAAGAATGTCAACAAATATGTACACATCACGAGAGCGAAAGAGAGAAGCAACGTTGCCATCATACCTTCTAAGCTCGAATCTAATCGCAAAGAGCGATTCACCTTGCTGGTGCGAGGTCGCCATAATCTTGAGCCTTCGGAATGAGACAACACGCCCTGGCGCGACCTGTGGCCCACATCACCAAACGAACGTGAGTTTACGTGTCAGAATAGAAATGACAATTTGAGTCGTGATGGAGCGGATGTGCGCGAGCGCAGACCTTGACGGGTTTGTTGCCGGTCAGAAGCTTGTTCTTTTCCTCGAGAGTATCGCAGCGTATGAGCACGGGCGCGATGTAGAGGTTGGACTCCATGCCGAGTTCTTCCTCTACCAGTTGGAGCGTCGGGTTGGGCTTGAGGTTGCGCTTGTACACGGATTTCTCGGGTGGCTGTTCCACGATGCGGAGCAGCGGTCTTGCCCTGGGAGGGTGCACACGAAGGTTGGAGTGAGGAGTCAGCATACAAGGCACGTGAGCGAATCAATCCATCGGCACGCTACGACCGCAATAGCTCACGAGAACAAGAAACACATCACGTGGAGAGAGCAAGCAGTGGGGTTGTGCGAGAAAGCTGAGAGTGGTGAATCGATAGGGTCGAGGGAGAGAAGTGAAGAGGCCACAACACACACACGACACACACAACACAACGGGCGAGTCGAGGAGCAGTTACCTCGGGGCGTGAGGGACGGGCGGGGCAGGGGTAGCGTGCGGAGTCGGCGGGGCGCCGGCCACCGCCAGACCCACGCCGCCCAGCCCAAGGGGCTGCGGCTGTTGTGCCTGCGGCAGCGCCGGGAGCCCGGCGGCTGCCGCTGTACCCGTGGGGCCGGCGGTCGCCGAAGTGGGCGGCGGCAGCAGGCTGCCGAGGTCTTCAACGAGCGAGTCGTGGTTCGAGGTCAGGCGCGACTCGTGGAGGATGCGCTTGAGCTCCAGCACATCGAACGGTTGGAGTTGGAGGAGGGCGAGCAGCTGCAGCATCTGCACCGGCTGCAGACGCGGCAGCGCATCCTGGAGCGCGAGGAGGTCGTCGAGATCGAGCTGGAGGAGCATGCGCAGGGGCTGGTAGAGGTGGAAGTGCTCCTTGCGCAGCTGGAGGAGCTGGGACAGCACGGTCTGCTCCCGGCCGGCGTCGGCCGAGGCGAGCTCCTGGTGCAGGGAGGCGAGGGTCTCGGGCAGGAGCTGCCCCAGCAGCTGCTGGAGTTGCTGGAGGAGCTGGAGCTGCTGCACTTGCGGACCCGGAGGCACGAATTCGAAGATCTTCATGAGCTGCAGGATGGAGAGCCGATTGAGGAGCTGGTAGAGCTGGTACACCTGTACCAGCAGGCCGAACGACGCCACCATTTCCTTGGGCAGCTTGTCGATGGCCTCGTTGTCCTGAGACGAGGTGGAGTCACCGTCGCCGCCGTGGGGATGCTGAATGTCTCCATCTTCTCCATCTTCAGCCTTCGCCTGGCTGGCCTTGGCCACGCCGGGAGGAGGCTGAGCATTCGTTGAGGAGGTGAGGGTGACGAGTCGATCCACTTGGGCAGACGTCGCGTCGCGCAGCAATTCGCCTAATTGGCCAAGCAGCAGATCCTCGGGCCGATGCCGCAGGAATTGGGCCACGGTGGCCAGATGTTGGGGGTTGAGGCCTTGCAGGAGGATGATAAGCTCCAGCAGGTCATCTTGCAGAGTCTGGGTGTCCATTTCGAGAGGTTCGAGCAGTTGCACCAATTAACGACAAATTTCTATCTTCTCGAGAGAAGACAGAAGGAGGGGGTCCAATCGAAGATGAAGAAGTCTTGGCCGAGCTGGCGGTTGGATGGAGGAAAGCTGTAGAAGATGTCAGGCCCAGAGGCGAGCCTAACCCGATCTCTCTTTTTCTAACTTTTTTCTAATTTTTTCCAAGCTGGCCTACACGAGATGTCCAATACTTCAATCTTTCGGCCTCTTCTTTTCCCCTCCTTGCTCCCTTCCAGCCTTTTTCACATTCCGTGCGACCATACACTCGAAATTTCCCTCAGCGGGAAAAAGAAAGGGCTGGCGTGGCGTGACGTCACGGAAGAAAATGTTTTTCCTTGTTGATTCTTGCCTTCCTTTTGAACCACAAGATTGGGACCAGCATTTCGTTCCTCCCCCTCTCCTTCTTGAACGACTGAGTGATCGAGGAAGATGACGTCATGGCTGGGTCGAATGAGCGGAATACTTGCGCCGCTCCCTGATGCCTCCCTCTTGGCGGGCGTACAGCAGCTTACCGCTCGTCTGCGCGCTGCGACCACCCCAGATGAGCGGTGTCGTGTAGTGAAGACTCTTCGAACCCACGCGCACTCGCGCGCAACCCACGAGGTACCCTTTCAAAGAATTCGAATTGAAATCACCATTCAAACTCTGCACTCAATCTCTCATTCATTCAACGAGCCATTTCCCTTCCCCACGCTGTTCTAGCGCGCTCACAGTGCGGTGGTGTGGCGGCTTTGGTTGGGCGTCACGGTCACAGGAGTTGGGCAAGGCCATTCCCGAGTTGGTGGACGTGCTCAAGCTGGAGCGCAGCAACCTCGACGCCGTGTGCGATGCCCTCGAGACGCTCTACCTCATCTGCAAGCCCGTTCCTCCCGAGGTTTTACCTCCACACCACCATTTCGTCTTGCGCTCCGTAGTTCATTGGCTTGTTGATGTTTACTGGTGCATCATCGTTTACTCAACTTCGCACGCCTTCCCTTTGCCTCCTACTGTCCTGCAGGAGAATGAAGGAGCCGCCGGTTATGTGGAGCTCTACAACGCGGGCCAGTTTGTAGAGGAGGAAGGATACGTGGGTGTCCTGTTGGCGCTCCTCGAAGAGAAGGAGTCCTACGTGCGCCTCAATACCGCCCAGCTCCTCACCACCCTCATCCAGCAGAAGGCTTCCACCCTGCAGGTCCGACGACCCACCGCTCCACCGCGCGCGCGCAACTCTGGTAGTACCGCAATCGCCTCATGCGCTTTGCTTTGGTGTTGTTACTTCAGGAGTACATTCTCCGCGCTCAGATGGGCGTGTCTCGTCTGATGGACCTGCTGGTGGACCATCGTGAGAGCGTACGCAATGGTTCGTGTCTGCTCGCTCCACCCCTTTTTTTGTTCAAATGATTTAATGTATCAAAAATGCGGATATTAATCGGCTGTGATACACGTATGCAGAGGGCCTGCTGCTCTTGACACACTTGGCGCACTCCAACCAGGAGATCCAGAAGATTGTCGCGTTTGAGGGTGCTTTCGAGAAGCTGTTCTTCGTGATTGACGCCGAGGTGCGGCGTCTTCCCGTGCCTCCCAACTGTGATGATGGTGATGATGACCTTCATCGTCTAACACATCGCGCATGCGTCTGCGCTTCATGCCTTGACAGGGTGCTGCCGAGGGTGGTATCGTGGTGCAGGACGCCTTGAATCTGATGAACGCCCTGATCGCCGGCAACGTTTCCAATCAGGTTTGTCTCTGCTGTCTATGAAACTGCTCACCTAACGCAGCTAACAGCATTGGGACGTGTGTGTATGTGTGGTGTGTGTGTGTCGTGTGTCGTGTTCAGAATTATTTCAGAGAAACGTCCTGCATCCAGCGTCTGCCTCCGCTGCTGCGTCTGGGCCAGACGGTACCGTTTTGTCGTCTTTCCAGCAATGGCAGCGCTTTAGGACTCAGTATTCGAAACCCTTGATTTTTATTTATTGATTTATTTTTTGATCGCGAACACTAGGACCAATGGTTCCTCACCGAAGAGCGGGCGGCCATCCTGCTCCTCGCGCTTGACACCATCTCTCTGCTCGTCTCTGCGCACAACCCCAACACTTCGACCAACCAGGTAAAGCGCGCGCCCTTCCCCGTTTTGCTGCTCGTGTCTGCTTCACCGGCAATGGCTCACGCGTGTCGTGTCATTCTGAAGACTGCTATCAGGAAGCACGGGCTGCTGGACCTGGTCATGCACCTCGCCTTGTCCCGCATCAACTCCCCCGCCGTCCGCTCACGCGTACGTTTGCTCGCACCTTTTTTTATTTATTTATTGGTGTACGCCATAGGTCGTGTGCACTCGTCTCAACGTTTGTCGGCACTACTGCGGCCTAGGCTCTGCGCACGCTCGGGAACGTGATGAAGGACAGCAGCGACAACCGCAACGCCTTCATGTCCAAGGTGGTGGAAACCGAGGACGGAGGACAGAAGCAGCCGGTACCATCTCTCTCTCTCTCTCTTGCGGGCGCGTGCGCTCCTTCGCCCACTGACTGACGCCTAATGCGTATTATTATTATTATTATTATTGTTTTTATTGTGTGGGTATAGGCCCTGCACAGGCTCCTGGTGATTTTGTTGAACTCGAGGGACGTGTCGGAGCGACTGGGTTCGCTCTACGCCTTCAAGTCGTACCTCCACGAAAACGAAGAGGGCCAAATCGCCCTGGCCTCCACCCTCAGGTCTACTTCCTCCTGCCCTTTTTTTCTCACTTATCTCACATTTTGTTTTTAATATATATTATTTATTTATATCGCCCCCACAACAACAGGCCCAGCCCGATCGCCGATGGAGACGAAGACAGCGTTGAGTCGTTTTCCATTGGCCGTCGTCTTCTCCACGGACTCATCGTCGAGGGTGCCCTGTACGTCCCCTCACTCAGCGTATTCCAACCCGCCTTTTTTTTATTTCTAACCTTTTTGTCGTGTGATCGGTTCGTCGCGCTAGCAACGGAGACGGGTTCAGCGGGTGGTTCGCCGGCTGTGTGCTCTCCTACATCGTGGCCGACAGCCCCACCTGCAAGAAGGTGACCACACTCACACTCACTCTCCTCCCGCTGGGTGTATGTGTGTGGATGTGCTGAAGAAAGCTTCGTTCTTTCTTTCTTTCTCTCCCCCCCTCTCTCTGTGACGCGCAGTTGATGTTGGACATCCCGCTGGAGATCCCTCGGTCCGACCAGCCGATTGTGTCCCTCCTGGCCAAGATTGGTCACGCCATCATCGATGTCTACACCTCACCCAAGGGCGATACTCTCGTCCTCGTCGCCCTGCTGCGGTAGCCCTCCACTACTACCCTTCCCCTCTCTGCATCGATGGTTTGCTCATCTTCGCGTACGCCGCATGTGTAGGCTGCTCTGTATGTGGGTGCACGACTACTCGCCAGCGGTCAAGGCTTTCTTCCAGAACGCCAAGCACCTCCCCTTTGTACGTTCCTCCATACGCGTGTGCACGCAGCGCACATACCTGCGA